AGCCGGGGGGGGGGCTCCTCCCAGACTTGGGCTCTGCCTGACCCTGGTGGCCTCTGTCCAGGCCCAGCTTGGGGGGCAGAGGCTGAGCCGGAGCCGCTGGACAAACGGAGCAGCCCTGGGATCGGCACCTCCCTGGGCCCGTCTCCGGCACCATCTCTGGCCTAGAGGGCTCTCGGATCCCCTCCCTGTCCACTGGCCCAGCCTCGGGTCGGGACCCAGGCCCATCCCTGGTGCCGCCTGCGACCTGTGGGCCTGCGTTTCCAGGGCGATGAACGACATCGGGGACTACGTGGGCTCCAACCTGGAGATCTCATGGCTGCCCAACCTGGACCACCTGATGGAGGGCTACGCCCGGAACTTCCGCCCCTGCATCGGAGGTGAGCGGGTGGGGCCGGGGCCGGTGACCCCTGGCCCTGGGCTGGCTCCCCTTGAGCGCCGGCCCCCAGGGGCACAGCTGGGAAGGTGGGTCCCCTAGACCTCGCTGCAGGCTTGTCCCGAGATGGCTCCCTCCTAAACCCGGCTGGTCACAGTCTCACCTGCCTGGGCTTTCCTGGCCTGGGTCCGTGCGTGTGTGTGTGTGTGTGTGTGTGTGCGTGTGTGCATGCGTGTGTGTATGCATGCATGTGTGTGTGTATGTGTGTGCATGTGCGTGCGTGTGCATGCAGGGTCTGGCCTCAGCCTGCTCCCTCCCCGCAGGCCCCCCTGTGAATGTGGCGCTTGCCATCGAGGTAGCCAGCATCGACCACATCTCCGAGGTGAACATGGTAGGTGTGCCCGCCTCTGCCCGCCTGCGCCCCAGGATTGGACCGGGCGCCCCAGGAATGGACCAGGCGCCCCAGGACGGTGGCTGACGGCGGGCCCTCCGCCCCCAGGAGTACACCATGACCGTGTTCCTGCACCAGAGCTGGCGGGACGGCCGGCTGTCCTACAACCACACCAATGAGACCCTGGGCCTGGACAGCCGCTTCGTGGACTGGCTCTGGCTCCCCGACACCTTCATCGTCAACGCCAAGTCCGCCTGGTTCCATGACGTGACCGTGGAGAACAAACTCATCCGGCTGCAGCCCGACGGGGTGATCCTGTACAGCATCCGGTGAGCCGCCGCCACCGGGAGCCCGGGATCGGGGGGCGGGGGGCGCTATTTACTCCGTCCGACCAGCAGCCACTGCCCAGCCAACCTGACGGCAGAGGTTGCCAGCGGCAGCCGGCAGATTCAGCTCCTGGCCAACAAGGCCGCTACCTTTTTAAAAAAATTGGGGCAGAATCCACATGAATGATTCAGCCCTGGCTGGTGTGGCCCAGTGGGTAGGGCGTCGGCCCGTGGACCGAAGGGTCCTGGGTTCGATTCCGGTCAAGGGCAGGCACCTCGGATGCATCCTCCTCCCCGGCACAGGCCCTGGTCAGGGCGCAGGGAGGGGGCAACCACTCGACATGTCTCTCTCATCCATGCTTCCCTCTGCCCTGCCCCCTCTCCCCCTCCCTCAAATCAATGGGAATGTCTCCGGCTGAGGATGAACAAATAAACAGTTCAGTGACACTGAGCAGGCACGATGGGTGTTGTGCAAACATCGCCTCTGTCTAGCTGCAGAAATGTCACCCCCCCAGAAGGAGACCCCGCACCCATGACGTGGTGGCTCCCCTCCCCCCGCACCCCGGAAATCACCAGCCTCTGCCTCCGGACCCGCCCCTTCTGCACCCACTTTGTGTCGATGCGTCCCAGACGGTGACCCCGTGCCTCCTGCTTCCTGGGCGTGGAGTCTGTGGCACATCCACGTCGTAGCACGGGTCACGACTTCATTCCTCTTCCGGCCGATGCTCCACCCGGGTCCCCCAGTGTCTGCGTCCACGCGCCCACCATGGACAACGGGCGGGGTCCCCCTTCGGGCGGCTGTGAGCGGCACTGCTATGAACGTGCGTGTCCGTGTAGTTGAACACGTGTTCTCTGACACCTGCCTTTTACACATGGAATTAATGAGCAGCATTTTAAAAACCAGGAGGTTTGCATAGGAATCAAAATTCTCTGGGAAAACCAGGCCACTTGGCCACTGGGCCTGCTCCCACCCAGGTCAGCGGGGAGGCCTGGGCCGCCCCTGGGCCCCGGCTCAGCCACCAAGCCCAGCGTTTTAAAAAAATTTTAAAATAAATATATTTTTGTAATTTTCTCTCTTTTGTTTTTTAAAAATAGTTCTTTATTTTTGAAAGTGTTACATATGTCTCCTTTCCCCCATTGACCCCCTCCAACCCTGCCCCAGGCCAAGGATGAAGAAAGTGAATGAAATTCAGTCCTTCATTCTTTTTTTAAAAAATATATTTTTACTGATTCCAGAGAGGAAGGGAGAGGAAGAGAGAGAAACTTCAACGATGAGAGAGAATCATTGATCAGATGCCTCTGGCTCGCCCCACACTGGGGATCAAGCCCACAGCCCAGGCAGGTGCCCTGAGCAGGAATCGAACTGGGGCCCCTTTCGTCCACAGGCCAACACTCTGCCCACTGGGCCACACTGGCCAGGGCCCGTCCTTCATTCTTGAAGGGAGACCCTCCCCCCCAATAAAGAGACCCGTTCTCTGTCCACCCAGGAGCCGGCACCTTGCCATCCAAGCCCACGGGTGAGACCAGGGCTCCTGGGAGGGGCCCTCAGGCGGGCACGGGGCCTCTCTGCCCGTTGGGTCAGGGAGCTGCCAGCCTCCCCCTGGGACCTCCCTGCTGTGTTGTCCGCACAGAATCACCGCCACGGTGGCCTGCGACATGGACTTGGCCAAGTACCCGATGGACGAGCAGGAGTGCACGCTGCACCTGGAGAGCTGTGAGTGCCGGCGGCTCCGGGTGGGACCTTGCTGTGGGCGGGCAGGGGGCTCGGGCTGGCTGGGTCCTCCCCGTGCCGCTGGCCTGGCTCAGGGGCAGGGAGTGACGGGGACGGGCATCCAGGGAGCCTAAAGCCTGGGCAGGAGCAGGAGTGGGTGCCCCGCAGCCGGGCCCGGAGCCCAGGGAGGCCTGGACCAGCATGGCTGGGCCGCCTGGGGACAGGGACCTGCACTCGGCCAGCTCCCTGGGCCCCCCCCACCTGCGAGGCC